GAAACAGAAAGTCTGAAGGTCTGTACTGTGTGCTTTGTATTATGGATCAGAATCAACTATAAAATACCCGAGAACAAGATTTAGTATCATGCCTTAACTGTAAAGCATTCAGTTACCATATTATCACAGCTAATATGATTATGATTTGTATTTTTTTTTATTTTAAATAAGAGTATAATTACGAGTGTTTCATTGTAACTTGCTTTTATGCAGGCAATGCTTGGAGGTGACAGTGCTGAAGGTGGGACTACTACTGAATCCTCCATGAAACCACCAAAGGAAATTGAAGTTAGCAGTGAAGTAAATAACTTTATAGAAAAGCAATTCTGTTGTCAGACATACTGTTTGACATTGAAGAGGTAGAGGTCAGGATTCAGGGTTTCAGTTTATCATTAAAGATGTAAATGGGAAGCAGAGGTAAAAGTTCCTTGAATTCTATATCTTGGCTTTAAATTGGGGTGAGTGATCAGATTCCTACTCTGACCACTTAATGCCTTCATTGTCCATTGTGTGTTAAGCAAGAATATCACAGGGATTTCTGAGTAAGTTAAACAGTATAACACAAATCTGCTCTGGACATGTAATTGCTGTACAGATGTATTGATAATACATCAAACATCAATTCATCTATGCAAGCAGATTAAACGTTTAATTAAGAATATCACTATGCTCCAAGTGTAATTATTTTCATTCACTGCCTCGACTTCGTAATTATCGCGTTCATCACTTGTTGAAAAACTTGGATATTTACATTCTCTGATGTATTATGTAATTAGTCTTTTGCACTGCAGATTTAAATTTACTCTGTAAAAGGTTTAAACTTTGTTTTTCAATTTTACTCAGTTTGTCCAGATTACAGAGTCACTTCACCAAGAGTCCCTCAGCACTTCAGCTCTGTTGTACTACTGCCAGTGCAAGATCTTGCGCCCATATTCAAGACTTCTGTGTCTTATGGGTCTAAGGCCATCAACAGTGGAAAATACAGAGCACGATTGTATCCTGACATGTTGTAGCTACAAACACTTGGTGTTTGTGTTGGTGTTGATGTTCGTGGGTTATATTCTGCAGTACATGACATGTTTCAGGTATAATGTGCATGTGCATCTGAAACACACACACACACACAGCTCACAGACCATTTGTGCTCATTGTTTTGTTTCTTCCAGATTTAACCAACTGAACTCCATGGGCCAGAATCCTTTTTCAGAAGCTGATAGTCACTCAGGCAGCCAAGAAATTCCATACCTGGGAACCCAGATTCATGTCCCTATCATAAGCCAGATAAACCCAGACTACACACTCCCATTCTTTATCATCATTTTAATGTCATCCTTAATGTGTGAACTCATGTTTCACACCCATACAAAGAATAGATACAGTTATAGTCTTCTTTCACTTTCATGTTGTAGCAAATATTTCCCAGATTTAAGTTGCTCTTAATTTTTCTGTAAATGCAATGTTGATTTGTTGTTGTTCCAAAATATTTTAATTTGACATATTGTTCAAGGATTTATTGGCTGCCTTTTCACTATTTTGTCCTGCAGAATTCAGGACTATTAATGATAATTGGAAACCACTCTTTTTCATAAAAAGGGTGGAAAAGAGGAAAATGCTTATAAAAAATGTCATTTATAATAAATTCTCGTAACAAATTTAGCAGTCATAAGTAGCCATTATCCAACTTTGAGAACATAGAGTATAATGTTTTTGTGAGAACTATCCAGTAGAAGTAATTGAGAAGCTGTTGAGGCAAATTGGAAATCTCAATTCATTCCAAGAGGGGGGGAATTTTTTTTTTTTATTTTGTGACCAGAGCCCAAAAAAGGGAAATGGATGCATTGGAGTTAGACAGCTTGTCAATAAATTAATCAATTACTCGTAATTAAATTGTTATTCTTGAGTTACTGATATGAAATTCCTGCTTCAGGAGAGATCGAGGTTTCGACTTCAAGAATGAATCAACTACTGAAGTTGAAGATCGTGAATATATTTGCTATGGTAACATAGCCTTCACTTACATTGTGCCAAGTCTTCTTCATTTTTCAGCATATGTTTATGCTTTGTACTTATTTAGAATCAATGACAATGAGCAACTTCAAAGTTTGATGGAAAGAGTAAGTATGTTGCTTTTGCTGGCAAGAATTTGGAAATAAAATTCCTGTGATCCAAATGTTAATTGTTTGCTTCAGAATTTATTTCTAAATTTAGGGACCATAATTGAAAGAACAATACATGTACCTAGTCCTGCACTTACTATTATATTCTTGTTGTGACATAATATTCTTAGACATTATTTATGAAGAGAAAGATGAAAGGTAAATTTTATAGGCATGTATTAATTTCTGTTACTTAATTCAGTTTCTGAAATCTCTGTTGGATTTTGGATGGGAAGTCCTTTATCAGGCAACGATGGTACGAATTTAGTTTTCATTGGCCAATTAAAACTGGTATCTTATGTGAAAATATCTATAAATATGAACATTTGTCAAGTTAAATAATGGTTTAATAAAACATTTAGACAAAACTTACAACTGTTAATTGGACATTTGTAAATTGGCAAATCCTTCATGCCTGAACAATTGCAAAGTATTACAATAATATGCCTATGAAATCATGAAAGGATTAATACTTCTATACTCTTAGTATCTTCATTAGCAAAATTTACACTAATATTGAAACCTATGGTGTTCTTCCTTAATATTACTAAGTTCTGTTTGTCAAACATTTATTCCTAATATTTCTGAATTCTGTTTTGTGAGAATTTATTCCTAATATTTCTGAATTCTGTCTCACAAAAGTTTATTCCTAATATTTGCAGTTTTTGTCTCACAAGAATTCATTGTTATTGCTAATGTTCTTAGGCTCTCCTGGTTTCCGGTGGATCAGCAACACAACGCACAGTAGTGTATAGTCTGTGGATATCTATTGGTCTGAGTATTCTATGGGTGACAGCTTCAGTAGTCTCTGTTTGTATTATGGTGGCAGATGGGGCCATTGTTTTCCGATGGCTACAGCACAGGTATGAAAATTTTTGTCCAGAGCGGTATAAATTTCATAAATTAATGGTCTGTTAGTGTCAAGAAACAGTGAATTTAAGTGATGGATGTTCAATTCCAGTTCTTTGTTTTATTGTAATGACAGTTCAGGTGAAGTGACCATACTGCTGAAGGGTCTGTTGGTATTATCAACGCTGTGGCATGACATGGTGCAAGCCACACTCATCACAAGCTATTGTCTTCAAAGTCAGCTGTTGTCATTGCATGTACAATCTCTGAGAGAAAAACTTTTGCAGTACGTTATGTCTCATAGGGACTGGATGCGTGTGAGTAATGTTCAGTACAATACCACTGCTTTGAGAATATATCCTAAATGAACCAAAATTATTTGTACAACTTCATTTGTTGATTTTACTTAAATGGAAGCATTCGTACATATGAACGGTATAGTGCTGGTAAAAATTCTTTACTTTGGTGTTATGGTATTCCAATTATGGCATTATGTATATGGCTACCAGTGTTTCAGACAGTTATGTTCAGGATTTTCACAACCATGAAAACCTTAAATCTCATACAGCTTTCCTTTAGGTGCCTTTTATCACCATATAAAGACACTTAACTTTTAAATTAATCCTCTCTGGCCTATGAACAAAATTTGTTGCTTGGAAACATCACAACTTTGTTTAACAGTGTCAGTGAAAACATACTGCCCCAGCATTTCATTGTTAATTGAAATTATTTGGGTTTATTTATTAATGGTGCCATGTCGTAAGTTAGCATGGATGCAGACAAAAGAACGTGTTTTTATTAAGAAGCTGTCTTGCCTTTTATGGAGCCCATTAGTTGAACATTTT